TAAGTAGGGTCTCCTTCCCCAGGGGAGTGGAAGTGGGACTCGGACTCGGAGTCGCTGGGACTCGGCCAGTCGGAGTTGGATAGACTTTCAGGCGTTCACAAGGTGTTCAAGCGAGGGCGCTCTGATTCTTGGAGTTCGCACGGTCCACTGCCACCAGCTGTCGCCTGCCTTGCACGTTGCCAGCTGGTGCTGGTGTTTTCAGTTTGGCTGCCGGGTGGCTCCTTTTGTGCGTCCTTGCCCGACGTCCTGCCGTCCCGGCATGGCCCTCACCGCGGTGCAGGCCGTCAGTTCGCCCTGGCAGGCTCCCTGTCCGCAGCGCCCCGTGCGGGCTGCTCTGCCACAGCATTGCTGCGCCCTCCCCTGGCCAGCGCTCAAGCTGCCCCCCACACGTCCCAGCGGCCCTCCCCACCTGGCGCACGCTGGCCCTGACCAGGGGACTCTGCGCAGCCACTGGGGCAGGGCAGCGCTGCGGGATGAGCTGCCCGGGGGGGCCCGTCCGGTGGGGAGGCTGCCCGCGGTGGCAGGCACCCGGGCGGGGTGGGCGGTGGAGCAGGTGGAAGAAGGCGACATTGCAAACCGGAACCCGTACCTGGAGGGGGACTTTGAGATTGGGGACGACGAGGAGTGGGAGGAGGTGCCCCTGCACCGCGTCAAGATCCACGACAGCGCCGCGGGGCGCACCTTCGAGGTGGACGTCCCCGAGGTGAGGGCCGCCACCGACGCGCACACGAGCGCCACAGCGGGGCAGGAACGTGGAGCTCTGTGCATGGGTTATTGGCGTCTGGTGTGTCTGGCGCAGGGTGCACGGTGCACGCTGCCCGAGCCTCGCTGCTGGACGGTGCCCCGCATGGCGTCGCCCCGGTTTGCAAGTCTCAGTTGACCCTACATGGGATTGAAGGCAGGGTCTGTGAATGTGAGCGAGGGCCCCGCAGGTTGCTAGAAAGACTTGGTTCTCAGAGCTCATGTTGCCCCCTGAGTACTTTCAGTGATGTCAAGAAACTGCATGCTTTGTGGGCGGGCCACTGCTCCGCAGTTGCGGCCCCGCTGCTGCTGACGCCGTGCCTTTGTGCAGGACCGCTACATCCTCCACTCCGCGGAGGAGCAGGGCCACACCCTGCCCTTTGCCTGCAGAATGGGTGAGTCCCCTTGTGTCATCGCTGGCTCTGTGCTTGCTTGCCACTTGCCCCACCAGGGCCGCCTGAGGGCGAGCGAGTCTGCCTCCTGGGCAAGGCTGGGGGGGCGTGGGGAACCCGCCCACGGGGATTACTGAGTGCGCACCTTCCCTGCTGCACCTGCCATGTGATCACCGGCCCGGCAGGGTCTGACGTGCTTGCCGCTGCGCCTCCCCCAGGTTGCTGTACGGCGTGTGCGGTGCGGGTCAAGGCGGGCAAGCTGTACCAGCCTCTGGCCCTCGGCATCTCCAATGAGCTCAAAGCGCAGGTAAGCCCCATGGTGTGCGCGCCCCAGCTCGCCCAGTGACAATGGCGCTGCGGGCTGTCACGTGCTGCCCCCCCCCTTCTGGGGCCTCTCAGCGGGCCATTGCTTTTGGTCCGCCCAGACCTGCTTTTGGCGCTTGCAATCTGCTTGTGGTCCCTGGGCCACACCAGGTGGGCCATGCACGCGCAGCCGCTCTGGCCATTGGGGGCATGCCGCCCCTCCTGCGCTGGGGTGCCGTGGTGGCAACATGGCAATGCCCAGTCGGGGCAGGCCGCTCGAGCGCGGGCGCAGCGGTGGCAGGCCGGCCTTGCGGGGGTGTGCCTCCTGCGCGGGCCCATTGCTGACGCGGTGGCCTGCTGGTGCGTGCAGGGGTACGCGCTGCTGTGCGTGGCGTACCCCCTCAGCGACGTAGAAGTGGAGACACAAGACGAGGATGAGGTGAGCCCACGGGGGGGGTGCCCTGGGCCGGGCCCTTGCCTCCGGCGGCGGTCGCTGTGCAGGCTCGTGCACATTGCACCATGTCGGTCTTCAGGACGCAGCGATGTGCAAGGGCCAATGCGTGCTCACAAGGCTGATTGGGACCCTTTTCACCATGTGTCTATCGTGGCTGCCAAAAGCATGCAGCGGACCCCGCCTTTCTTCCTTCGGTAGCACCTACTGGTGTCGCTGCAATGTAGCAGGATTGCTTCATTCCAATGTCAAAACCGGTCGAGCTTTCTTTACAAGCACGGTTTGAAGGTAACGCACATCATGTTGTTCCTGTCCTTGCAGGTGTATTATTTGCAATTTGGAAAATACTTCGCAAGGGGTCCCATCGTGAGTTTTGGCATCCTCTTCCTGGTCGCTAGTATCAGATGTTTCCTTTGCCGAATTTGGAAAGGGGATGATGCTGCTTAGCCATGGTCGTCAACATTTGCCTCGTTGCTTCGCCGAAATCTGCCTCGTTGCTTTGTTTCGGAAGTTGATTCGCCGAAATCTGCCTCGTTGCTTTGTTTCAAAATTTGATCATGATCAACTACCGCTGGGTTGTCCGGAATGCTCGTTCGGCCATTGTTCGTCGTTTTCAATTGTTTGCATTCGGGTTCCTTCTTCTGGTTCGTTTCTTCCTTCTTGATTCGCATGAGCCTTGGCATCATGTGCAGGAACGAGATGACATTGCTCTTGAGATAGCACTACAAGACGAATGAGGAGGAGCGCCAGGCACATGTACAGTATGGATGGACTGCCAAGATTGCGAAAACTAGCCCAGCAGGACAAGAAGGCTGGTGAGTCAGTGGCGTTGAGAAGAGAGAGTGCTACTTTCCGTCACAAGAAATCGGACACTCGAGTAGTTTTAATACAGCACATGACTTGGACCTATCTTTGCTTACCTGCGCCTTGGACTCGACCTAAGCTCATTGCAGATTGTGTGTGGCTCGTACAGGTTCCTCTATTCGGATGCATGATATAAGTGGCTTTTAAATTGAGGCCGGCAGCGCATGTGAAATCACACACGTGAGCACTGGCATCCGGACTTTTGGACAATTGCAATCGACCATGCGCCACTACTATAGCTTGTCGAATGGATGCTTCAGTGCAAATTGAATCCAATCGTTCGCTGAAGCTTGCAGAACTATCTTGCCATGCTTGTGCATGCCCTACTATACTACTAATACAATTCATGGCACGTAACACAATCACTCTGTCAAGAAGGAAGTTCGAGGCCCTCGCCCTTGAATTATTGCCCATGCATCTTGAAAGATATTCCTGTTGCATGCACATCTGTGACCGGCCAGGTGTCCGTCCCGATATCGGGAAAAGGCAGTGGCTGAATCTAGCGCCCGGTAGTATCGTGCCATGGTGCATATGGCGACAATATGCAATTCCGACCTGCTGTTGAAGACGGCGCGCGCTTCAATCGAGGTCCCTTGAAGCCCTCCAAATGATCACCACCCTCTGAGGCCGTGGCTGCGGGATTCAATGATGCGTTCTGAAAAAGTTAGTGGTTCCGACGTCGGAACGATTCAATGCTACATGTTTGGCACATGCAGCTGTTGCCGCCTCATGCCCTCATGCGGAGAGAGGCGCGTGGCAAATTCCCACTCAGCGCGAGAGGGAGAGACAGACCGCGAGGGTGATGGACTTGGTGGCTGCGGACCCGCCGGGGGTCCTGCGCTTCAATGACGTTGGTGGACTCGATCCTTCAATGGGCATCGTACGTCAGATCACATTGGCAAGAGCGTCCGGAACTCTGCAAACTGGCCCTCGTTGAGGGGCGGCTGGACGCTGGTGGGGGTATCATCTTAGTAGGGGCAAATTTACCCCCAAGTAAAATCGGGCATTCTAAGGAGGTGGGGGCCGGGGCTGGTGGCCAGTTTTAGTTTCGGAGTTCCGGACGCCTTTGCAGACATGTCTACCACGATGCCTTGAGATCTACAACGGAGTCGGCGGTGGAGACAAGTCACGCAGCCTGCCAGTGTTAGAAAAGGCTTCTAAGGCGGCACGTACAGGCCGACCACTTCCCCAACGACGTGGTTATGCTTGTTTCTCCCACTGCTCAGCGGTGGAGATCTTTGGGTGCCTAGGAGGGCCGTTTAGCAGCAGTGTTGCGCATGCATGCGCTCAGCGTGTTGCGCGGCATCGAGACTCCGGATGAGAGCCATGTCGAGGAGAAGGCTGCTCGATTGTTGAGCTTAGTTATCGTCGGCACCACGTCAGCGCTCCGCCAGGCGGCGCATCTCAGTTGGTCTGCCGCGCGTACCACGTAGCCGAGCTAGAGCGCGATTCAGCAGTTCATCAGCTCGAGCAGGTTAGAGCACCTTAATTAGGTCACTGCAAGGCCGAGTCTAGCGCGAGTCAAGATTTGTTGGTCGTGGGGATACCCGATTCTCATTACGAATGATTGCTGCTTCGGGTCGGCGCACGGTCGGCGTATTGGTGAGGAGTGACTTTGAGAAGCCATGGCCCGCAGGCTCACTTCCGATTTTGAGTCGGCTTCTTGCTAGCGAGTCAACGTCTATTGATCATGCATGTGTTGTTCTTATTGTAGATTGTTGTTTTTGGAATCAAGCAAATCTCTGCACATGCTTAGATGTTCGGAACTCTTACTAATTATGGTATCGATCCATATGTATGTATGGAGCTGCCAGGTCAATTTCACGAGTCTGCAAAGAGTAGCTTAGTCCAGGCAGGTCTACCGTTAGACTGCAAACAGAGCGCGCGCAGTTAGCATTACTATATAGTGGACCTTCGAGAGCATTGGTGGGTTCCATTAATGTGATCGAGACATACTTTGAGAAAGTAAAATTAGACGGGCACGGATGGAAGAGTTAGGTAGATAAGCTTCAATATGCACCGCAAGCAATGCTTTCTTTCAATAAAGCAGGCTTTCGTGTAGGCTCCCATACATTGGCGGTCGAGACGGGCAGATGGCAAAGCTTAAATCGAGCGAGCAGACTGTGTAAGCTTTGTAATCCCACTATAGCCGGGAAGCTATAGACTCATGGAGAGCAAATTTCGTCTTTGATTGTGCATCCTACAATTTTATATGACATACGGACGTACGGCACTCCATGTGAGCTTTTCCTTTTGGATGGCATTAAAAGGACTTCAAAACAATTATTTAGATGTTTCAGATCAGGGAGCTATACCCAGATTCCTTCATCTAAGTATGCAGAGAAGAAAAGCAAAAATTAGATAGAGTAGACCATCGATCAGAACAGTCCACTAGGCCTATCCGATCAGTGGTCCCGAACGGACTCTAATTTATTTTTTCACATATATGCGATGGCGCATGAATAACTTACTTCAATGTCGGACGTTTGTGTGGGCTTCAGAGTTGTGCCGGGTTTGGTTCCTTAATTTTAGAATGATCCGCACGTGAAGGAGAGCCGCCCGCAGACATGCATATATAGTTAGATCGAGTCAACCATGATGGGATTGTCATACATACAAACTTTCCGGGCACTTATAGCCATTGCACATCTGTGGGAGCCGGCGGCCATTACCGCAGGCCAGTCTAATCACTGAAAAGCAAGCGGATATAGCAACAAATTACCATGCTAAAGGATTCTACGAGTTGAACTCAACGTCGACAACTTGGCCTGCCAATCCATGACGATCCATGACAAGCTTGGCAGACGGTGGTACTTGACCACGGACTCTTCCACTACTAATGCAAAAGTAAAGAATACCAAGGGCAATGACTTCTTGTGCAACAACCTCATCCTCTGGAAAACTCTATGCCGGAATCCTCAGGTGCTATCCAGATACGCAAGAGCTGGCAAACCTAAAGCATGCATGTATTACCCAACCAAGCTTGTAAAGCTGGCCCATGACCTAAGATCCCGTCCTAAGTACTCTACATCCATGTATCGTTGTTCGTCAAATATTTCTGCTCAATCTAATTCCAGAAGAACTTGAATCTCAAGTACGCGTGCATGTACTACTGCTCAAGCTGGAAAACATAGTCTGTGAGGTTTTGCAAGTGGCTTACATCCGTCTTTTGCTCTGGACGTTCACGTGACTTGGTCGTTGTCAGAATTTTGGAAGTAGGGTCAACGGACCATCCCCTCTGCAAAGCTACTGCAATAAACAAAGTGCAGAACAATGCGTTTGAAGTCCGACACTTTCTTCTGCTTGCATGATTGACTGTCGAGAATCAGACTCCCAAGTGAGACAGACAAACCAGAATCCAGGTCCAAGCAACACGGTAGGTGTCTGCAGTGGCCACATCATGCATGGACAGTGACCTCAAGGTCGTTGTGACAGTCCTCACACAAGAAGGATTACTCACAGGCAATTGTCTCCGCAGTTGTGACTCCAAGAATGCGCGCTGCCTCGTCGACGTACATGGAAGAATATGAGGTCGAAAGAAGCTTGAACATCTGCATCCCAAACTCTTCTGCAAAACCATGTATGATACATCCGGTTAGCGAAAGAAGGACAGAAGGAGAAAGAGGCATGCACAGTGCAAACAATAAACGCCTGAAGAAGCACTGACAAAGAATGCACTTCGACAATCGAATGCACTTCGACAATCAAGCGGCCATCTCTGGTGAAGAAAGAAGCCTGACGGCTGCAGCCACCAGGGGAAGCGTGGTCGCCTCAATACTTCTCAGGAGCTCAGCATGGTTCCAGGGCTCGACTATACGGGCAGCAGAGAACTCCGATTGGGCGTGTGACCTGCTAATGATGACGCGACAACGACAGCGGCTTGTTTCCAACATAACAACGGCTTGGGAGGATCAGGAAGGACTCTGCTTAGGCAGCTGAAAAAGCCTATCTATAGCCTGATCTTCGGTCTGGCCTAAACTGATTACGCGTAGGAGTCGCTCTGTGCATCTTACCAGAAATCATCACTTCCGCCACCTAACTTGGAGCTGTCCCAGACCTACAAGACTAAGAGAGCCCGAGTGTGGAACTCTTGCAATCATCTCATACATCATACATTATAACCAGGACATGTCGCATGCTTGATGAGCGCGACTTAGATGTACTGAAGTACGAATAACTAGTTAGAAATCTCCCCTTTCAGGACTTAGTCCATATGCATCTGCACCTTCTGAAGAGCAGCGAAGACTCACCGCCAATTGCTGTTACAAGCCCTTGGGCAGGCTGGGTCCAAGCATACCCTTTCAGTGCTCTGTGTACCTCTGGCCGATCATGCTGCCAAAGAGCTTGCACTATTCGCCACGCCGCTTGTAGTTCAGGATTGCTGAGCTTCATAGATTGAGGAATGCGCTTCCATAAGAAGCGCGCAGAATTCCTGCACAGCATAGCATGCTACATGGCATCGAGCCTGAATCTTGTACTGAATCCGTTACAGTTTTTCTATAAAAAAAAATTGTGCATTGCTCCAAATCAAACCATGAACTTACGCATTTGCATTGAAATCTTGACGACATCGCCGTAGTGAAAGATAACATGTCCACAGACTTATAAGTCCCCAGGGGCCCGGACCACACTGCCTCCGTTTGACAAGACTTACAGGTCTTGCAGGATGACATGCCCCAGCAAATGCAGCACATAAGGCCAGTCTGCATCCAATGCACTGCCTGCAACCTGCACAGCACGAACCAGCTTATTAGCAAGTGTTGGCATTCAAATCGAGAAAGTCTGATGACTGCGGTTTCAAAAAGAGTTCGAGCAATTGAAGGACTTTCGTACACACACCAAATTACCTGTCTGCGATGTTGCATTGATATGTTGCACCACAGTGTGCAGCAAGGCCACCTGGCAGGGTTGCTAACCCACGCCGCTTTGGAGAGTAACAATTAAGTATTTGTTCTCAGATCCAGACTTCTGCTCCCTGGGTGGAGATATTATGGGAGCTTTGAGAGGAGGTTGGGAGCAATCAAATCAAGTGGCAACCAGGAAGTCTCCACTGATGTGTCAAAGTAAATTGATCAGAATGGCAGGATGTCAAAGGAATGTCTATCAGGAACAGGATCAGGAACATGGTCAATTACCTCAAGTTCTAAGGCATCTAAGATGCAGGCAAGATCATGAAATTGGCGTTGCGTCAGAGCACGCTGCACCACCTCATAAGTCCTGGAGTTGCTGGGTCCAGCGTCTGACATTCTGACAATTTCCGAAAGAGACTTTTAGCAACAGTAATTGTGCAGCTTCTGGAACGCTGAGCCGCTGGGAGAAAGCTACCGAGGCTGCCCTGGTGTCTGCAGACAAGCTTGACGCAGCTGACAAGCTGAATTAGGAAGAGAAACCTGCCTCAGAAGGGCAGGGCACGGCCAAGTACACACCCTACAGTTAAATAAAGACTAATAGGTATCTTGTTTTGCCAAAGAGCTCAGCTGGGAATCGACTCCGACTCCGAGTCCGAGCATGACATTGACATTGATGCTGCCGTCATGACTCATGTGCTCCATGCAAAGTCTGGGTTCTGCGCCCGGAGGCTATTGGCAGGTGCCTAT